GTTTTCTCTATGCACGTCTAACTACTGCATTGCATTCCCTGATTGTCTTCATACTAAAATGACTAAAATATACATTCGTCATGTATAATAACAGATTTTAAATATTAAAACTTTTCAGGATTCGTCATCCTTACGTCATATCTCAATAAGCAAATCACGCCAATCCTCCTCTGTGGGAGCACTCTTCCTACATTCATGTGTGTATTGTGCTCTTTCTTGTGTCTTGCTCCTGTGACTGCGTGCGTTATACTCAGAACAATATCCTTTTTTCTTATCCTAATGCAGCAGTTCACATGCAAAAATCAACAGATAGCTACTCAAGCCACATATATTTTTAAATAAAATGTTGTTATGCATGTTTAAAAACACTGAAATATGAAGAGTATCCCTCAATGTGTATACAGTATGCAGACAAAATAAATATTCAAGACAGGAAAATAACTTGATAACACTGGTTATATCTGACATTTTTTGCATTATTTATGAAAACAGATTGTAGATGCGTTTGGAAATCACAGCTGTAATGTCTGCCACAAGCTCAGAGGGAGCCCAAACATAAATACTGCATGGGGAATTTCTATAAATAGAATTAACTGTATTCCACGGATTCTTTACAGGATAAAAAGAACAATGCAGAACACATAATACAAATATAATCCATAATACGAGCATAAACCCCAATATAAATATATATTTATTACAGCTATTTACATACATCCTGTAAGAATATTACGTCATACATAACAAAATAATTATGCTAAAAATTTTTCTTTATAAATTTACAATACTTAATAATTTTTAATACAAGCAAATTCTTCTACAGAGTAGAGAAGTGAGATAAGAGATAATCTTTTAACACTGACTGAAATAATTTTCTATCATGATTTAAAATTATGATAAACAGAAGAGGGTAAGAGCATTATAAACAATGACCATAGTGACACTATACCTTTAATGTCACCATCATCTGTATCAGGTTGGTATGTGCTGGAGGATACGGTATCCCAAAGTACTCAGTCATACGGAAGAAGAACAAGTAAGCGAATGTAAAGAAGAAGCTTACAATATGACATTTTCTGCAATAAAGAATATGTAAATATTATTTGTAAATCCTGCATATATATGTGTGTGTGCATATGTACACGCATGTCTTTACAAGACACAGTATGCATCTGAACAGGAGAGGAAAAGAAGAAATACTTAAACATATAGCAGCAACCTGTGTCACAATTTCTCAATCTAATAAAAATTTGACCCCAATTTGCTTGCTCTGGAAGGAATCTGAAAATTATAATGCAAATCTACAAGCTAACAAGTTCCAGCTATGAATGACTCAGTAAAAACAACTACAGAGCAAAAAATGAACCAGTACGCAAATCAAATAGACTCAAAAAACTACCAGGTATGAAAAATAAGGATTTTTATGGTAAATAAACGTGCTCCAAAAATAAATATTTCCTTAAACGGAGTAACCAAAGAAGAAAATGATATCAAATTCTATAATATTTTCCCTCAGAACATTAGAGGTTTAAGGGGGAAAGCAAATGAGTTATTAAGTCATCTATACCCAGTCTCCCCACACATATTATTTTTTACAGAACATCACATGAATTTTTTGGAATTACAACAGTTGAACATAGATTCTTATAAACTAGAAGCAAACTACTGTAGAACCTTGTATGAAAAAGGAGTAGTATGCATCTATCCATGCACAAGCTTGAAATTTGTAAATATAGACCTAAAAAAATATTATAAAGAAAAAGATTTTGAGGTATGTGCTGTTAAGTTAAACCTGAGCTCCAACAGACTTTGTATAATTACAATATATAGAGCTCCAACTGGAAACATTGATACTTTCATAACAAAACTAGATACAATACTTAGAAATCTATATACCTCAACACAAGCATATTATTTGCAGGGATATTAATATAAATTACCTTCTTGATAGTGAAAAGAAAAACAAATTAGATACCTTATTGAGAACTTATAATTTAATAAGTACGACAAATCTGCCCACCAGAGTTCAAGGAAATTCTGCTACAGCCACTGATAATATTTTCATTGATATTACTAGAAGGGAAAATTATTCTGTAAGGCCTATAACAAATGGACTGTCTGATCATGATGCACAATCCATAACATTTAAANACTTAAATCTTTATCAACTAAGGAAGCTGAAAATATAATTAAATCTCTCAAAGCAAAAAACTCTTATGTATATAATGAAATATCCACTATAGTATTAAGAATGAGTTCCTTTTTCATGAGCTCTCCTTTGACTCACATATGCAACAATTCATTATCACAAGGAATTTTCCCAGATCATTTAAAACACTCAGAAATAAGACCGCTGTTTAAAAAAGGTGATAAATCAAATATTTCCAACTACAGGCCTATAACACTTTTAACTTCATTCTCTACGGTATTAGAAAAAGCTATGAGCATTCAACTGATTGAGCACTTAAATAACAATAACATTTTAGTGGAAGAACAATTTGGTTTTAGAACAAAATCTTCAACAGATGAGGCTATATACAGTTTAGTGAATGAAATCTGTAAGACCTTAAACAGCAAAAACTTAATAGGAGACATTTTTTGTGACATAGAAAAGGCCTTCGATTGTGTTAATCACGAGATTCTGTTGTCAAAATTGGAGTTCCATGGGATAAAGGGTAAAGCTAAACTATGGCTTGAATCTTATTTCAGAAATAGATATCAAAGGGTTTTAATTACAAATATAAATCTAATCTCAATGAATTTTCGACATGGGGCAAAATTAGATATGGTGTCCCGCAAGGTTCGATTCTGGGTCCATTGTTATTTCTCATTTATATAAATGATTTACCCAAAACTATAAATGATAAAACTGTACCTATATTA